GGCTTTTGCCGTTACCTTTATGCTCGTCGTCCAAGTACCGAACCCGCAGTTCCTCCTCTAGTCCTTTGGCTTCGGTACTGTATTCTCTCACGGCCCCGGGCAGCCGAGAGCGGCGTTCGCGGGCCAGACCCCTCGGGCTCATGCGTCCCAGAGAGGAGGAGGAGGCGACGACCGCTAATCCCCCTCGATGGTGAAAGAGCGTAAGAGCTACCCTGACTGCTGCTGCAGCCGCCATGTTGCCCGTACAGGAGCACGCACCGAGCCCAGCAGCATCCCCAGCCAGTCTCCAACGCCGTCACGTGACAGCCACTTTCGCGCGGGCCGACAGTGGCGCGGGCCCAGCCGGCAACGGGCCTGGAACGGCATGTGACTCCGAGCGCGCGGAGTCCAGCTATCCGGCGCAGCTTTTTCCTGGCTGGAGTCTCCAGCCGATGAGTGGAAAGCGACTTTCTCGCCACGCGCGCGACTCCGGCGAGCTCGCGTCTCCTCAGCCCAGACTTAGCTCTTCGCCGTGCCCTGAGGACTGAAGAAAGGCCCAAACCGTATGTGCGTTACGTCCTGGGAAGTAACAAGTTATCTTTTCCTATTACCTTAAAAAGCTTCCCATCAGATAGAAAAGGGGGGATCGAGGTATATTCCAGCCAAAAAACCATTTTCCTTTAGTTTTTAAACGGTTGTGTGACTTTTACTGTTTTGTGTCTCATTCTCGACCTTGTAGGGGACCAGTGGTATATGAATAAGATCAAAAATCATTTGGATTATCACAGATTGTTTATTAATCTGTTTAATTAATAAACGTCTCTTATTAATTCTTTAATAAAATTAATTAAAATGCTTTTAATAAATATTAATTAATATGCTTTTAATTAAAAATTAATATTAAAACATTTAATGGTGTTGAAAAACAGCACAGTAAGAAATGGTGTTGCGAATTTTTTTATTGTGATGGGATAGAAATATTTAATATATGTTTGCTTCTATTACATTCAGCAAGAAGATATTGTTTTTCTCTTGCTAACCTTGAGGGGCACCTTATCTGTATTGACATATCAGTTTTGTCTAGCTTGGGAGCTGCTGGTTCCTGTCTTGCCAGCTTCCTTAGTTACATATATGGACTGATAAGTCAGTCGCATCACTACTAAGCGATATAGCATCAGTGACATGCACCAGTAACTTCAAGATAGGATTATTGTGATTTATTCTTGTAGGGTCTGTCCTTGAAGACAGCCTAAAATTGCAGCTGGTCCACAATGCAACAGATAGACATTAAGTGACATTTCAGAGGTACCATATCACCTGTGTTGAAGCAGCTACAGTAGTTGCCAGTTGCTTTCTGTGTCCAATTCAAGATGTTTAGCCAACTATACACCATTTCTTTATTTATAATTTAAATTTATAAGGTATTCCATTTCAATCTGATTCTAGGCAGCATACAGATTAAAATAGATAACTACCTAAAAACAAACCAATAAATGCATAAATGTAAGCATAACAGAATGGAACAGCCTTTTTCAAAATAGATACTGCACCCCGGATAGGCATAGCCCTTCTTATTTATTTAATTTAATTACTTAATTTATATAGCCCACTCTGCTAGCACATGACTCAGGGTAGTGTACATCGCCAGTAAACAGTAAATCAGTAAAAATCATAGAATAGGGCAAAGTATAAAAATATAATCCAAAACAGCTTACAAAAATGTGTCAGGAAAATACCACTCCCAGACTCAATGTCTGATCAAAACACTAGGTTTTTGATGATGATGCTATCCATTCAGTCATGTCCATTTCTTGGCGATTCTATGGACCAGGTTTTTAATGCCTTTTAAAAAGCAGGCAGGGCCAGGGTGAATCAAATTTCAGGAGGAATATTGTTCCAAAGGGCGGGAGCCACAACAGAGCTCATGGAAGATCAAGTAGATCTAAGGTAGACGCACTACCCCCATTCTGACTCCACTAGTGTGATCAATGTTGCCTAAGTACAGCTTCAAGTAATTTGCTTCTTCTGGGGTCTTCTAGTGCTGTAGTTCAACCATTTTGTCAACAACCTTACTCAAAATGGAAGATTGGAGACTGGACAAAAATTGCCCAGAATTGTTGGGTCCAACAATGGCTTCTTAAGGGTCATACACCACTGCCTTCAAGGGAGATGAAACTACCCCCACTGTTAAGGATGAATTTAGTACTATATAGATCCAACCACACATCACTTCCTAAGAGGCCTTAGCCAACCAGGAAGGACAGGGAAGAATAAGTGCCAGATGACAGTCGTGAGGATCCTGTCCATTTCCTTAGGAATCACAGGATCAAACTTTTCCCAGGTAGCAGGACACGAAAGTGTTTTGACTACTAATTCAACAGGACCTGCCCAGCTGGAGTCCAACAGAGCTGATCAAGTCACTACCTGCAAGATGCCTAGAATATTCCTTACAACAGTCCAATAGATTTTTTTGAGATGTGCATCTTCCAACAGAGAATGAACTTCTTTAAACAGGACTGCTGGCCAGCTATCTGCGGATGTGATAGAAAAATAACTTGTTTTGCCACTCTTAGCACCGTGATGTAAATCCTAATATGGGCTATGACATGTACATTCTGTCATTTCATCTCCTGAAGTTCCCCAGTAAAGTAGGGTGCTTCACACAATCAGTGAACAGGGAGAGATTGGATCAGAGCAACTACTGGAGGGACTGCCTGTCTTCCATAATATCTACCCAGCCAATTGCATTTAGTAGGTTTGGCACTCTCCAGATTCCTTCAACGCCATCTATTGGAACCCTGGAAGTATGCCTTCTGTGTAGCAGAACCTGCCCTCTGGAATGAGGTTCCCCCAAGATCCCGATGGCCCCCACCCTGCTAGTGTTTTGAAGGTCCTTGAAGACCTGGCTGTTCATCCAGGCCTCTGACAGGGATAAATGAAGCCCCCTTTCAATTGTATGGCTTTGTTTCTCTTTCATACCTGTCCAGTTGTTGCTACCTTTGCTATCTTTTTTTTTTTTTTGGTCTATTATTGTATTTTCCCCCTTGTTTTTAATGTTTTACTTGTGAGCTGTTCAGAATTGTTGAATCAGGCAGCATACAAATTTAATAAATAATAGTAATATATTTTAGGAAAGATCAAGCAAGGTAATTTACAATAAAATAACACATAGAAACACAACATAAAAATAAATGCAGAATATATAATCCAAAACCAGTTACAATCTTTAAAAACTCTTTGCCCTTAGAGGCCTGATTAAAAAGATGTATCTTGGCTGCTTTTCTAAAAGGAATGAGAATGTGGGTTAAACACAAGTCCCAAGGGAGTGATTTCCATATTAAATTGCTTGGAAAGCAATTGACAAGTAAGCCAGCTCTTTCAGTATAGGTATCATATGATCCCTCTACCTGTTAACAGCCTAGTTGCTGCATTTTGCAGTTAATTGCAACTTCTGGATACTTTTTAAGAGTATCCCTAGTTGTAATACACTGCAAAAATCAAGTCGAGGATATGACTAAGGCACGGAAAACTCTTGTCAAATTGTACTGTAACTGTTCAAACACTCCTCACCACAGCCACAACTTGTGAATTTGGTAACAAATGATGATCAAGAAAGACTCCAATATTGAAAGTTAGTGAGTGTCATCAGCATACTGAAGATATTTCTTTCCAAAGCTCTGAATCATCTCCCTTAGTGGTTTCGCACAGATGATGAACACATAAGGGACAAGATAGAAAAGGCACCTGACCTGTGGAACAAGCTCCCCCCAAAATTCCAGGAGCCCTGACTCTGTTAGCCTTAAGGAAAGCTTTAAAAACTTGGATTTCCTCCTAGGCATTAGACCAAGATGACAGATGAGTCCATCTTCTGGGAAATAGAATGTATGATTGATGAATCCCAGCTTGATGTTGATATGTTGGTTTAATGGATTTTTTATTAATAGTGTATGGTTTTCAATTGTAATATTTGGGGGTGGTGTATTTGATGTATGTGCTCAGTCATGATTACACAAGTTAGATGGCTATATAAATTTTCTAAATAAATAAATAAACAACTAATTAGAAATTTGTGATGCACTACAAGTCAGTAGACTACAAGTCTAGATGTAAAAAGTACTCCACCACCACCACCTGGATACAGTCCAATGAACAGATATCCCAAGACCTGACCTGCCCAATGGTCCAAAAAGATACCATAATGTATCAAAAGCTGCAGATGTTCCTTATGAATAGAAAAACCCCTTTGGAGAAACATTGACTAATTTACATCACTTTTTTCTGTGTGTGTGAATTTTGTGCAAATAAGCTGCAAATTAATTTTCTAAGGCAGGTACAATTACAAAGAGAGAGATTAAAAAAAAGATTAGAACTGAGTAGGAAGAAAAAAAGGTTCCAACAAAGTTACAAAGAAGTTGTCTTTCCTTATCTGTTCTTTTCTCCATTACAAACATAGTTGTAATATAGAACAGACAATTCTTGTGATTCCTGGGGCTTTGTTCCTAATTATCATTACTACATTTGGCCCTCACCTTTTCTGAAGCATTAATCCTGGAGGAAGATTCATATCATACGAAGAAAAATGTTAGATTCATTGAGCAATAGGGTTGCTAGAGCAATTGCCAACTTGAGTTGGCCAAAATATATAAAAAAGGTGGAATAAAAATCTAATAATAATAATAACAACTTCTAGCAATTTTACCCTAGAAGTAAACTCTCTATGTTTGTATGGGCAAGGGATCAACAAGTAGAATTAGAGATACTGTCTCAACATCATAATCATCTGGGCTGGGCTAAGTATTTCAGAAATGTTCTAATATTCTGAGGTCAGAATGATTTGTATTTCAAAATGCAAAATATTTTGTGCACCTCTAAATATAATGAAGACTATGCAATAAAAAAGCCCTGTGGAAATTCCTAAGTATACTGTATACTTGCATAACTTTATGTTTTTCTTAATTTAAGTATGACATTATTGGAAAATACAGGCACTATTGGAGAATATTTAAATCCAACAGTTTTTAGATAAAAGATTGTAGATAAAAATGTTAAATGTTTAACAATCAATAGGCAATTCATATAATATATAGTTTACTAGTATAAATTATTAATAAGAAATAATGTGTTGTATGTGGGTGAAAGAGAAAGTTGCTTAATAATGTCCTTTTTTTTCTGAAAATACCTTGTTTTGTGACACAATAATGAACTGGGAAAGAGCTGTTGTACTTTGCTGTTTCTAGTGTCCCAATGCAGTATGCCTGGCAACTCCTCCTGTTGCACTAGCATTTAAGTATTAGTCAGAAAATCTGAATGAAAGCTACGTTCTCCATATACAGAACCCCACTGT